AATCAGCAAAAATTAAAGGTTGTCTAAAAATATAAATAAAGAATAAAAAAGAAATAAAGAAAATAATTTTTGTTTACAAATCATCATAAATTCACAATAATTTAATTTTTCTTATTTTCAGTTGTCATTAAGTTTAAAACAGAAATCTGCTTAAAATGACGGATCAAAATGGCCATATACCGAATAATAATACAGAACATACCATATTGGATATACCCACCATAAATAGCGTTGGTATGAAGTTTATCTGTTTTGAATATATGTATTTAAAAATATATTTCATTCCTTGTTTAATCTATATTTTAGAAACCACAACATCAGTCGTGCAGGTGAATCAAAATGTACCGTTCGAAAAGATTGAAGTTATAGATATTGGTAAGTAAATTATTTTATACTTAATTATGTTTAAATATTCGGTCATTAGAAAATTTTAAAACCTCGGATTTAATTGAGTAGATTGAAATACATTTAAAGATTTTAAATGTTGAATGAATTTTACTCATAATTATTGGTCCAGTGTTTTTATTTTCTACATATGAATGGGATATTAATTTAATTTAGTCAAAGAAGTTAATTGTACTTTGTTTAATATACATACATATACAGTATAAATTTTTATTCTATAAGCAGGTTTTTGTATATATTTTTAATTATTAAGTACATATGTACGTACAATATATAATATACAGTAGTGGTCAAAATATTCGGCACAGTTGTAACATTTCACATTTTTTGATATTTATTTTGAGAGAAACTTGTTTTTATGTTTACAAATAATAATAATTCTAATTTAAATAAATATTATCTGTTTAAAATAAAAATGTAAAAATGTTGCCTCAGTTCCGAATGTTTTGAACACTACTGTATGTCGTCATATATAGAAACAGGCTTTAGAGTAGAATTATTAGTATATTATTTAATAAAACCTCGGGCTTTTATTTTTTTAATTTTTAAAGTAAGGAATTATAATCGAGTATGATGAACTATATGATACCTTACAGAAGTAATTTTTGGAAAGTCTGGTGTTTATTTTAGGCCATAAAGAGGCCATATAAACTTCTCCTTCGTGAGAAGGATATACAAACATACAGATACAAATATTTGTTATAAGTAATACAAATATTTATAGGTTAGTTAAACCGACTTTTGAACTATAGTTTTTTCTTAATTTTAAAAAACTTAAATTTATAACTACGGTTATACATTTATAAATCAATTTGGATAAATATTTTTGAAATAAACTTATTTGTATTTTTTTATATTTTAAAGTTATCTTAAAATTTTATTATTGACATTTCTATTTAACATTACTTTGTTTGCTGGGTTAGATGTATATACATACATGTATTTATATAAAATACAAGTATCTAATCGATATTTTGTATAAAGAACATAAAAACTTCTTTATCATTAAAAAAAACATTTCATGCTAATCGTGGTTAATTTACTCATAAATATTAAATTTATTAAAAATCATCATTACTTGACATGTATTAAGTATATAATTGGAACTACAGCTGTTTTCCTGCAACTTTTGCAAATAAAACTTACAAATAGTTTTACTTACATTAACCTATGTAAAAGATAAACTATAGATTGTAAAAATAGATACATGTCTTCTTTTACCTTTATAAAGAAATAAGTTTATAAAAAAATTTAGATATTTTAGAATCTTTTCATCTTTTGTTAATGAATTTTACATTATAAATATTTTATATGCATTTATGTTTTAAATATTTATGAATTTATGTAAATAAAAACAATTTACTTGTTGTTTATAGTGTATTTCTAAATGCTTTCTTAAAAAAAAATTTGAACTCTGTTTCCCCCAGTATGACTTTGACTCTGATAACTAAAATCAGATGAGATAAAGAATATTTTGTTTGTACATAAAAATAGAATAATATATACAGTAGAGCTGCCCTTAAAATAAATTTAATATTTATTTAATTCAATTCGCTTTCTTTTGATTATATTTAATAAAAAAGTATATATTTTTTTTAATTTAAATAACATTTTTACTATTAATAGGCGCCACCAGTTAACGTAGTCCAAAATTTTTCCATACCAAATAATAATGGGATTAGTGAAAATTACTTAAAAAGCCTTTTCATTGTTGACCTGTGTAATTAATATCAAAGTAAAATCATTGATTTTTCAAAAAAGTTTTTTATTCCGAAGTTTTTTGTGAATTCTTTACGACTTGATTCCGAATTTCCAAACATAAGCCCATATAAGACAGATTTCTTTTTTAAGGGCGGGTATAATGTGATTGTTTAAAAGAAAATAATGTATATACAAATATATACTTCTGTCTGATAACAATACTTTCACGATCTATTCATTTATTTGTATTTTGAGTACTCAAAGAGCGCAATTTTATTTTGTTTTTGAACATGCACATTTAGTTTAATTTTAAACTTCATTCTTAACAGGTTAGCTTCTTCTAAATTTGTTTTATTCAAAATATAAATCTACATTAAAAAAAAATACATAAATTTATTTTAGTGAAAAAAAAATAAAAAGGAGAATGCAATATCTAAATTACAATATTTGTATAGTATTAGTGAAAAATATTGTTTAAAAATACATACATACATACATAATAATAATTGTTATAAATATAGGGAGACATTGTATACAATGTGAAGAAATAATATTTTTTAATTGTTTTAATATTACCCGTTTTAGAATCAATTCAATAACACAAGTGCAAATTTTTTATTATAAATTATATAAATAATTAAACTGGTTAATATGTGCAATATATAAAAGAACTTTGATATAAATATTAAAAATAATTATATATTTAATGTCCAAGGTTCAGAATACTGGTACAAAAGCATTTACTTGGATATATAGACATTTATAAAGTAAACTAGTGTTATTTTTTATTATAACTGATATTTTAAAATTTAATTTATGCAAGTATTTTCTTTTAATTCTTTTATATTGTTTATATGAACATAAAAAGTATATTTGCTTTAGATAGGTATGTTTTATAAAAAATATTTATAGTGGGAAGGGTATTATACGTTTGAGCTGATGTTTGTAACACCAAAAAATATTGGTTCTACGTCCGTCCGTCTGTGTGTCCATGTAAAATTCGTGCGCATGCTACAGGTCGCAATTTTCAAGATAATTTGATGAAATTTGGCACATACTGCTCTTTTGACGAATTCTGTTGATAATGGTTTAAATCGGTCCATTATTTCGCCTAGCCCCCATACGACCGTAGCCCCCGAGTAGGTATTTTGAGGTCATAATTATAGTAGGTGTTTTGAGGTCATAATTATATTCCTGTATCTCTACAAAAATCGTTAAGACTTTAGTTTATACAAGTATAGATTTATATAAGTTTAAATGATATTGCCGATTTTCGTAATGATCGGCCTCATACAAAGTCCCATTCAGAAAACGACGTCACTAATTAACACTAATATCACGATGAATTTTTGCATAAATAAATTTACACATTGTTCTTAAAAAACTTTTCTTTATTCATTTTCTGAGAAAATAAAAATTGAATGTCAGTCATTAATAAACTGCTTATAAGTAATGTAGGTGGTTTGAAATAGCATTCTCTGTTCAGTAATTGCAAGTCATTGCCAATGTTTTACTGGTTTGTTATTCACCTTATCTATTCCAAGTTTTCAACAGAACAATATGGAGACCTGTGTAATGAACTGATAAGAATTATTTTCTAAATAAAACTGCATGACCTAAATCGTCACGTTAATATAAAACAAGTAGGAACGTATAGTCGACCATTTGCTGAATTTTACCCTAACTTCAATTATTTAAACAATTTATTTATGAAAAACCAGAGATTCCCCAAAAAAAAATTAGAGGAGTGATTTATTTTGAAATCTTAGTAATTTTCAATGGGCTTCGTTCTTGGGCCGAAAAACACTTTTAGTCCAAATTTCGTACCTTGTGCACAAGGTTAAAATGGATAGCCATCCGGACGGACGGACACGTCCTAATCGACTCAGATTCTGAGTCGACCGGTATACTTTTGGATGTAGCACTAATATTTCTGTGTGTTACAAATATCAGCACTCTACACACTTTAATAGCGTATAATGAATTTAACATTTCGCACATTTACTACAAGACTGACTAGCATTTCTTCTATTTAAATAAGGTCTTGATCTTGATTTGATCAATGATTTGTTTAAAAGTTATTTAAAATATCATAAAACATTCAATTCTATCGGAATTGAAATAATTTCAACCGGAATATACATACATACATAAGTATGTATGACAGAATATGTAATTCGATTCAACTATGTCAGTCTGATGGTTATACATATGTATGTTGTGTACCAACAGCAACACAACCAAATATCATCAAAATATGTATATAGTTGAATAGAGATAGCTCCATTTAGTATACATCGTTAAAAAACAGCTCAATGTGCAGAATTATTATTTTTTTAATACATATATGTATGTATGCATGTAGTTCGAGTGTTTCATTTCCAAAATTGTGCTTTTACGCGTTGTTATGACTTACAAATCACTAGTTTATCTCAATAAAGAGATAAATAAAACAGTTTGTAAGATTAATGGAATCTTGTAAAAACAAATTTTGGCTATTCTGAAAAGACACCCGAAATACATAAAATTTGGGTCTTATTCATAAACTTTTATCAATGGTTTATAAATCAAATTTTCATGCAAAATTTGTTCTATAAACCTTTGATAAATGTTTATGAATAAGGCAGTTGTGTTTTACCGTTATTTTATATAAATAAGTATTTTCCTGTGCCGGTTTATGCAACACTGTTATTTTTCATTTTGTTATGTTTTTGTTAAACGGAATACAACTCTAGTTGTTAGTTCTCTTTTGATTTAGCTTTCATATTTCATTTTACATTCTCTTTGCCGAACAAAACAAACATCAGAAAACAGCTGACGGTCACAGATTTGATTCAAGTTTGTTTCTCAAAGTTGCTCTACTGTGCGGTATTCGAATGCGATGTATTTCAGTTGATTTTTAACGCTCGTCTAAATTTAACGTATCTAAAGGAGGCAAACGGGCATTTATAGTAGTAAAAGATTGTTCAGTTAATAAAAAAAAATCATATTTTTTTGGGGTTTGTTTTGTCGATTATTTCGTTTCATCTCTTATTCGCCTTTGCTTTTGGTCTGACTGTCTGTCTATCATATAGTATAAAATAAATGGAAAAAGTGTTCCGTGTTGTATCATTAAAGCAAAGATTAACTTTTGGACCGGAGCAGTGAGTGATTGCGTGTGTGATATTTAATAAAATTTGAAAAAAAGCTTTAATAAAAAATAGTATTAGTTCAATTAAAAATAAATTACTATTACTACAACAATTACTGTTTAACAAATGTAGATGTAAAATTGTGAATAAATTTCGATATTTTCATTTTAATTTCGGTCCATATAAAACTTGCTCATAAAAAATTCCACTCTACCTTTTGTATGCACGTAGAGATTGTGGGAATAATCAATTAATGAAAGTGATTTTTACGCAATTAACAACAAGAAAGAAAAAAACACGATTAACGAAAACAAAATAAAATTGTAATTAATACAAATTAAGCAAAACAAAAAGTTTAAATTTATAAACATTCTATATTTAAAAACTTGCAGATAATTACCAAGTGGAAAATATGACCAACTACGACGATGTAAGTATTCAAAATCATTTTTATTTATTTATAGAAATTAAAATTAAATATACATACATATACATACCTAGTTACTAGCTCTATTTCTTCATACTTTAAAATTTTCTTTATTTGTATATAATTGAGTCTGACGAAATTAATTTTTTTCTTGTAATTTTCCTGTTTTTCTTTTTTTGTTATTTCATAACTTTTACTACAACTACCTTACTTGTCCGTTGGAAACGCTAACAATTACTTCAACTAAAATAATAACAACAACACCTAGATATTGCAAAGATGCCGCACAGCTTTTGCTAGTGGAAAAACAAGAGATGTCAGCTTTAGGTAAGTGAACAAAAACAAACAAAACTAACAGCAACAACAAAATTAACTAACTGAAACTTACAAAACTACACAGCGGACAATAAAACGAAAAGGAAGTTATAAATATTTATGAATAATTTGTATATTTTTTCTTCAAATTTATGAATAGAATATTCGAAACAAAAGTGCGAAATATTATGAAAATAATTTGTTAATGTTTGCGTTGTTACAACAGGTTTTTTTATTAGAAGGCTTTTTTGCTCTTCGTTTTGCTGAATGCCAAACATATAGAAGTGAAGTTTTAAAATAAATATTGAATTGAAATACATATTGTGAATAGAGCAGTTATTAAGTTATTCTGAATATTAAAATGGTCCAAAAATTAGGTTTATATAAATTAAAAAACATACATATGTAATTGTACAATGCGCCAAAACTAAAATTTCGGGGTTTTTAAAATGCGTATGTATGTTCATCAAAATATTCGATGTGTTAAATAAAACCGTTTATACTGTTTTATTTTTTTACATAGATCTTTATTAATTCGATGTGAAAGTATTGTTTTAGAAACGTTAAATGAAAAAAGTACGTATATTTAATTAGTAATCGTTTAGTTTAAATTCAATTAAGATACATCTTAATTTTTGCTGTATAAAGTCTAAAGAAATACCTCTCAATCGATGCGGACAATAGACTAGACTATAGACTAGACTATAGACTAGACTATAGACTAGACTATAGACTAGACTATGGACTAGACTATAGACTAGACTATAGACTAGACTATAGACTAGACTATAGACTAGACTATAGACTAGACTATAGACTAGACTATAGACTAGACTATAGACTAGACTATAGACTAGACTATAGACTAGACTACAAGACTAGACTATAGACTAGACTATAGACTAGACTATAGATTAGACTATATACTAGACTATGACTAGACTATAGACTAGACTATAGACTAGACTATAGACTAGACTATAGACTAGACTATAGACTAGACTATAGACTAGACTATAGACTGACTATAAACTAGACTATAGACTAGACTATAGACTAGACTATAGACTAGACTAATAGACTAGACTAGAACTATAGACTAGACTAGACTAGACTAGACTAGACTATAGACTAGACTAGACTATAGACTAGACTAGACTAGACTAGACTAGACTATAGACTAGACTATAGACTAGACTATAGACTAGACTATAGACTAGACTAGACTAGACTAGACTAGACTATAGACTAGACTATAGACTAGACTATAGACTAGACTATAGACTAGACTATAGACTAGACTATAGACTAGACTATAGACTAGACTATAGACTAGACTATAGACTAGACTATAGACTAGACTATAGACTAGACTATAGACTAGACTATAGACTAGACTATAGACTAGACTATAGACTAGACTATAGACTAGACTATAGACTAGACTATAGACTAGACTATAGACTAGACTATAGACTAGACTATAGACTAGACTATAGACTAGACTATAGACTAGACTATAGACTAGACTATAGACTAGACTATAGACTAGACTATAGACTAGACTTAGACTAGACTATAGACTAGACTATAGACTGAGACTATAGACTAGACTATAGACTAGACTATAGACTAGACTATAGACTAGACTATAGACTAGACTATAGACTATAGACTAGACTAGACTATAGACTAGACTATAGGACTATAGACTAGACTATAGACTAGACTATAGACTAGACTATAGACTAGACTATAGACTAGACTATAGACTAGACTATAGACTAGACTATAGACTAGACTATAGACTAGACTATAGACTAGACTATAGACTAGACTATAGACTAGACTATAGACTAGACTATAGACTAGACTATAGACTAGACTATAGACTAGACTAGACTATAGACTAGACTATAGACTAGACTATAGACTAGACTACAGACAGTTCTAGAGACTAGTCTTTGGACAATTCATTAAGAGTTTATAAGTTAGAAAAAATGCCGAAAATGTCATGAGTTTACCGCGATATTTTTTTTTTTTTTTGATATCAAAAAGTACTAAATTTTCTAATCCTGTTTTAGATAAAAGCACTGTTCGCATTAAAAATATAATTTTATTTAAAAATTTAAAATTGTAACCAAGTGTTACAATTTTATGTGTTTTAGGTTTTGTAATAATGATTTTTCAACCAATTTTATTTTGGCAAATAAGGTGTTTTTTCCTTCAAGCAAATATGAATTAACGCAAATGATAAGAAAATATGTAATAAAAATTACCATTTTCCCATGACAATAAAAGTAATGTATTTTTGTAAGAAAAGTATTAACTTACATAATAAAAGCAATTAAAAATCATATTTGCATTCAAATTTTACAGGATTGTACTTGACCAACATTTTTATAGTGGTTTTTTAATTGTCAATTTATTCAACTTTAAATTAAAACAATTTTGGAAAAATACAAAGTTTTTGTTTGCAACTTTTGAATAGTTTTTTTTGATGGCTTTATAATGTTAAAGTGCACAATATTGCATACGACTTTTTACGTGATTTACAATTATATTATACTTAATGTAAAAACCTGTATTTTTTATTAAATATAATGTTTTTTTATTACATTATATGTATTCGTATAATTCTTTTTATTTATTTTAATAAGTACATACTTACTTTGTTTACTAAAAATGCTTATTATAAAGTTTAAAATATTATTTTTTCTTTTATAATTAATGCCTTAATAGAGCAATTAAAACTTTAATTGCGAGATTCGCTTTTTTTCTTAATTAATAATATTCATAACTGGATTTAATGATCTTTAACTTTTAAACTTTGTCTTTGTTTTAAACATTTAATTGTTGTTGCTTTTGAAATTTATTAAATATTTCTACTAAATTCTATACATTTCCATACTATATATTGCGATAAAATAATTTAAATCGAGTTAGAAAATTTATATGTATGAATATTATAGTAGTGGACCATACAAACATTTGAAAGATATCTTCTATAGAAGATATCAATGCAATATCTTCATATTAACATTGGAAAGAAAGTCATCAAAGCAATATTTGTTTGACATCGTAGTTTTATTATTTAGAACAAAATTTGGCAATAGGTAATAAAATATATATGTCGATAACTTATATTTAACTTCCAGAAGATAACCTAAAGATATATTTTTATTTCCACCTGTCTGAAATTTCGCTTTTTTTATCTTCTGGAGGAATCGCTTTCATATTTAGACGCTCAAACTCTTCTTCTTTTTTTCTTCTAAGCAATACGAATTCGAATCATTCTCGTATCCCCTTGGGATCTTTGATTATTTATCACGGTCTAAAAGGACCTACGCATGCGTCTTTCTAAGCCTGTTAAACCAAAACACTCACAAAAAATGAGCTAAGTAAGTCTAAGTATGTATGTTCGGGGTCCTTATTTGATTCTATAACGATCTAGCTATGTTCGTCCGTCTGCCTGTTCAAAACACAATAGGGGCTAAACGGGAAGAGCAAAAGTACTGAAATTGTTCACAAATATTTTCAATTGATAAAGTCACTTAAAAATACAAGTAATGAAATTTAAAATTGACATGTTTTGAACCAAAATCTCTGCACATCATTTCAAAAGGATCGGACATTATTGGTCCAACTCATCTGAGAGAATATCACTTTATCGCTAGGTATTAAGATCCAAAGAGTTCGGTCTATAATAAACCCAAGTCCCCACATAACTGTCTCTTCCGAATATCACATTGATGCTCATATTAATATCGATATAAGACACGGTTTTGATGATAGTCATATAAAATTTGAAATTGGTCCATGATTTCTCGTAGATTTATATAAATATGATACAGAATTGTGCTTAAGTGCCTTGATTTTACAGTAATTGTAATACAATTTCCTTAAATAAAATGGCTAAAAGAAAAGTCCTATTAGTATCTGAATAAATTTTATATTTTAAAACTAATTTCAATGTTGAATATATAAAAATTGCTCGTGTTTTTTTTTTTTGTGGTTCGTCTAGTATATAGTTTATTAGTTTGATGGGTTTTTTGTGTGTTTCGATTTACAAACGAGCAGATTAGGTTCTAAAACGGAAGTATTCTAATCAAGGTTTGCAATTAAATTTTAAAACTTGGTAAAAGAAAAAGAGAAAAAAGAAGTGAATCATTTTATTTATTTTTTTTGATGATAAATAATTTAAATAAATATTTGTGAACATGTGTATGTCTATACAAGTAGATAAATAAATAAATATGCATTTCAAGTATAACTAAAAATAGCAATAAAAAATATTTCACATATCTATCTCTTTATATACTTATTTGTATTTTTTAAACTGAAGATGAAAGTTATTTTTTTATTATAATTTTATAAATGTATTTGATTTTACTTTCCATTTTCAAATTCAGTGTGTTTTAAGTGCAACAAAAATAAACATTATTATTTTTTAGGCAAAATTTTTAAGCAACAAATTAGAATTCTTCTTAAGAATTCCTCATGATTTAATTGATCAACAACGATGTGTTTAAAATTGTTAAACACTAGCAATATGTTAATTGATTGAATTTATTTGTTTGTATACATTTTTGTATACATTTTGTTTTGGCATTGACCTTGCTCATCCATATGGCTGATTGCTTGGTTAACTAACTGATGGGTTGGTTGGTTGTCTAGCTGGCTGACTG